TCAGACGAGGGACGCGGGAGCAGTCTGGCAGGTACGACTTTGTCAGGTGAGAAACTTCCTGTGAAACGCCGAGCCGCCCCGTAGCAAGCTACTCTGTGACGAGCTACTGGTGGCGTGCCGAGGTGATTCTGCCTGAGGTGAGTTGTCTTCGATGTGGCTCACTTGCTTGGGTCCAGAGCGAACTTGTTGTTCTAGTTCGCGAACTGGGATGAACTTAACTCGGAGTGCAGCTCGGGACATCGGTGTGCTCGAGCTCGCTCTATGGCGAGCTAATACTTGTTGAGCTGTCACCTGCATCGAGTCATGTCCATGTGCCGGTCTGCCTATGCCGAGTTGTCGTAAGTGCTGAGTCACGTACACGTGTCACCTGGTTAGGAGGTCGGGCCAAATCACCCTTCATCAATTGCCCCCCACTCCTCGAGCTAGGGGTCTTGCCCTAGCGCGGGGAGTCCATGAAGTGACGGGTGGATTTGACCCGTAATTCAAACTACCTTGTCAGATTGCGTGAGGTGCATGCGCGGACGTCACGCGATTTATAGATTCTGCCGGCGCCAAAAAACGCGCTAAACTGCCTTCAGTCTCGGAGGACGTGTAGCCGGTTTTACTATGAGTTGTTGGATTGTTTTAATCGGGGCTGTTGTTTTTCGGGCACAGTGGCTATAAATAGGAGGGCCCCAAGCCTCATTTTTATACCAACCAGCCTTGCTTTCGGCTATGAGATCGTGCCTTCGCCTTGCTTGCTCAAGATCTCCCCATTCATGTCGTTCTTTTCAGCCTGTCTTCTTCGATGAGTCTTTTCTGCCTTACCCAATTATGTTTGGGTATCCGTACGATGGTGTCCCTTCCCGGGCTGGTAGTCGGGGCGAAGCCCCCTCGAGCTCGACGGGAGCTTGGGGACTTCCCGAGGGGCGATCTCTGGAGGCTCGGGAAGCCTCTGGTAACCTAGCTTCCACCTCCCAAAGTCGGGAGCCGGACAGTTTTGGCCCTTCTTCCATGTCAATGGAGAGACTTCGGGCCCTGGTCTTCCAATACAACCTCCCAAGGGAGCTTACCTATAGCCTTCCGACTGGCAATTATCCTTGGGAGCACGATCATGACGAAATCGTGATCTTCGAGGAGCAGCTCATGGCTGGTCTTCGCCTTCCCCTGCACCCTTTGATAGTAGAGGTCCTCACTCACTTTAATGTTACCATAGACTAGTTGCACCCGAATTCTGTTCGGAACTTGGTGGGGACCATTTCTTTGTTTCACGAGTACTGTCTTCCTCTTTCTCTCGATACCTTTGTATCCATCATGTTAAAAAAAAATGCTTCCCCTGGAGCTCCTGCAAACAGGCGCTCTTATTATTTTTCCCCCCGTCCCGGCTTCAAGCTTCTCCATGAGTTGCCCAACAGTATCCTGGCCTGGAAACGGGGCTATTTTGTAGTTCATAATCCCGATGGGTGGCCCTTTCTGACCCACTGGAGGGCTGCCATTCAGGATCCGGGTGTTAGGTTGGATCTGAGGATGCGGGAAACGCTACAATCCTGGGTAGAGCCCCGGTAGGTTACCTTTAGGTTTTTTCTTCCTTTCTTGGTTTTTGCAAGCTGGGATAACGTCTCTTTGTTTTTTACAGCTATAATGTCGGACGTGGATGCGCGTCGCCTCCTATCGAACTCTCAGAGGGGCAAGCGTAGGGCGAAGAGGTTTTGCCAAGACGAAGCGTCTTCTTCTAGGGCCGTCGAGTTTGAGGTCACGGACCCGTCCTTCGTTCCACCGCCAGAGGTCCCACCCACATCCCCTGAGGGAGTAGCCGCGGAAGGTGATGAAGAAGAGGTCCCTCCTCCGGGGCCATACCCGCCATCCACACCAGCCGACCCCTCTGCCATGCTAGCGTTCCCCAACGAGGGGCGAGATAAGAGCATCACCAACTATGTCTTGGCCACGCGGAGGAGCCGGGATTTAATCTTCCACGAGGAGGTCGCGGAATGGTCGGGGATGCACCCTAGGCGGCTCTTGGGGCTGGCTACGATTCACTGCATGGTGGTAAGTGCTTGCTCATTTTCTTCTCTTCTCCTTCCCCCCCCCCTGCACTTTTTTTTTTTTACTTACCTCGGCTTTCTATTGGAAGTTGAACTCCGTTCTCCATGCCCTGGCCTGTCAGACGGCCGTTCATTCTAGGGACGCCCTCGCCCAGAGGACGGAAGTACGGAGGCTCAATCGTGAGCTAGATCAGGCCCGGCGTGAGGTCCTCCAAGCCAAGAAGGGGAGCGAGGCCCAGGGGCTACTTGTTCAAGACCAGGAAGCGTGGATCTCCCAGCTGATCAAGGAGAACACTCGTTACAGGGAGGGGTCCTCAAGGACGACTAAGGATAGGGAGCGCCTTCGGCAGGAGGTTCGAAGTATGGAGGCCACCCTCCACGAATGAGCTCGAACCTTTGATGCTATCGTTAGGGAAGAAAGGGTCAAGGCGGTGGACCGCTATAAAGAGTCCCTGGAGTTCCGCGACCTTCAGGTCGAGTATGGCACAGACTCCTATCGTTCGGGGTTCAAGCTTTGTTGGTACCTGGTTCGGAAGAAGTTCTCTAGCCTTAGCCTTGACGGTATCATGATGAAGGGTCTAGCTCCGGAGACGACGGACGCAGCGGAGGAGGAGGAGCCCGATTCCTTGGAGGAGACTGATGAGGACGTGGAACTGGTGGACCCTTGATGTTGGGGTTGTTCTTCTTTTTCTTCTGATCTTTGAGTGCATGTTCCCGGGTGGCTGAGCCCGGTTTTCTCTTCTTTTTTTTCTCTTTTTTATTTATTTTCCCGGGTCGTTAGGCCTGGTTTTTTTATAAAAACCTCGGTACTTAATGAAATATTGTTTTTTGCTTAGAATGGTTCCTTCCTGGTTCATGCCATACGTATATAGGTTACCCGTGCTGTCGAGTTACCAAGCTGGCAACAAGCGAGGGTAACTGAAGTGGGAGTCGTCCCAAATTACGTGAGTTGCCTTGCACTATCAGGCTACCGAGTCTTGGTGAGATTTTTTCTATGTTTCTTGCCTTGAGCTGTCCACATAGAATCTGTCTGTTTGAATGTAGGTCCTCTGATGGACTTGGACCATGATCGCTTCCGAGGTGATGTAGGCATCGTAGGGTTGTTGCCCGATCTGTCTACATTTTTTACTTTAGTAGGCGAGGGGGTGAGGTCCTACGCACTGTTTGGAGCCTCCGTTAGTTCAGTTTCATAGCCCTTAGGCTCGGGGAGTGACTCGGAGTCCACTCCTAAGCTTTGCCCATGTCATAGAGGCGACTGGGACTTAGTTGGTGCCGAGGTTCTTATCAGTTCGATATCTTGGCCCTTAGGCTCTGGGAGCAACTCAGAGTCCACTCTTAAGCTTTGCCCATGCCATAGAGGCGACTGGGACTTAGTTGGTGCCGAGGTCCTTATTAGTTCGGCATCTTGGCCCTTAGGCTCTGGGAGCGACTCAGAGTCCACTCTTAAGCTTTGCCTATGCTGTAGAGGCGACTGAGACTTCGGTGCCCATGCCAAAGAGGCGACTGGGACTTCGGTGCCCATGTCGAAGAAGCGAGTGGGACTTTGGTGGTGACGAGTTCGTCAATCCTTGGGCTTTGGGAGCGGCTCGTCCACTCCTAGGCTTTCTAGGAGTGACTCTTAGTCCGTCTCTGGGTCCATCGGTCACGGGTAGTATTGTCTTAGATTACTGATGTTCCAAGCCCGAGGTACTTGCTTCCCTTCCGACGTTTCGAGCTCGTGCGTACCTTACCCGAGCACTCGTTTTACTTGGTAGGGACCTTCCCAGTTTTGTCCGAGCTTACCTATGCCGGGCTCAGGCACCATTATTTTCCGAAAGACTAGGTCGCCGACACAGAAGTGCCGCTTTCTGACCCGGTTGTTATAGTACCAAGCTACTCTTTGCTGGTAAGCTGCGGTCCAGATGTATGCGAGGTCTCGTACCTCTTCTATCTGGTCGAGGTTGGTGCAGAGCTCGCCGTCATTCGCTTCTCTGTCATATGTTTCCAAGCGTAGCATAGGTACCTCGATTTCAGCTAGGATCACTGCCTTCGTGCCGTAGGTAAGGTTAAAGGGGGTTTCACCTGTGGCAGTTTTGACGGTAGTTCGATAGACCCATTGTACGCTAGGCAGCTCGTCTACCCATAGCCCTTTAGCTCGGGCCAAGCGGGCTTTTAGTCCGCGGAGTATGGCTCTATTTGTGACTTCCGCTTGTCCGTTCGCTTAAGGGTGCGCTACCTAGGTGAAGTTCTGTTGTATCCCCATCTTGGCGCACCAGTCTTGAAGCATGATATCCTCGAACTGCTTGCCATTATCTGAGATGAGCACTTGAGGTAGTCTGAAGCGACATACTACATTCTTCTAGAAAAAGTTTTGTACCGTTCGAGCTGTGATTGTCGCTAGGGGTTCCGCCTCTACCCATTTTTTGAAGTAATCTGCTACTACCACCAAGAATTTTCTTTATCCTGTCATTGGTGGGAATGGTCCAAGAATGTCGATTCCCCACTGTGCAAAGGGCCATGGGCTAGTGAGGTAATTCAGGTCGGCGGCGGGTTAGTGATGGATATTGGCGTGGCTCTGGCATTTATCACATTTCTTGACAAGCTCAAGTGCATATGCTTTCATTGTTGGTCAGTAGTATCCTTGCCGCAATGCTTTTTGGGCGAGGGCCCTACCCCCCAAGTGTCCGCCGCACAACCCTTCATGAGTGTCGCAGAGAACGAGCTCGGCTTTTGAGGGTCGTAAACAGCGCAAGTAGGAGAGCATGTAGGATTTTCTGTATAGTTGTTCGTCTATAATGATGTACTTGGCTGCATTGCGATCTGCAGGGAGGGTCCTGTGCAGCAGGTAGCTTGCGAGTGGGTCAATCTAGCTCAGCTCCACTTGCATAACAGGAGCTACCTACTCTGCCCCCCCCCCCCCCCGAGAATGCTAGGCTGAGGCAGGTCCTCTATAAACATAGTCCGCATGGAATTGTTGCTTGTGCTGACTAACCGGGATAATGCATCGGCCTCAGTGTTCTCAGATCTTGGAATTTGCCTGATAATGTACGACTAGAAGCCGCGTAGAACCTCCCTGGCCTTGGCAAGGTAAGCGGCCATGGTGGGGTCGCGAGCTTCATAATCGTCGGTTACCTGGTTAACCATGAGCTGCGAGTCACTGCAGATGACGAGGTGCTTCGCTTGTACTTCATTTGCTAGCATGAGTCCGGCTATCAATGCTTCGTATTCCATTTCGTTGTTGGATGCCGCAAACTCAAAGCGAAGCGTGTACTCCAGCTTCGCTCCGCCTGGTCCATATAGGATGACTCCAGCACCGCGTCCTTGCTGATTTGATGAACCGTCTACGTAGAGGATCCAAGGCTCTTCGTCCCAAGTTGACTTCGCTTGTACTTCATTTGCTAGCATGAGTCTAGCTATCAGTGCTTCGTATTCCATTTCGTTGTTGGATGCCGCAAACTCAAAGCGAAGTGTGTACTCTAGCTTCGCTCCGCCTAGTCCGTATAGGATGACTCCGGTACCGCTTCCTTGCTGATTCGACGAACCGTCTACGTAGAGGATCCAAGGCTCTTCGTCCCAAGTTGACTTCGTTCTGATTGTGGCTGGTTTCGTACTGGTGGAGGCCTCCTTCACGTACTTGATTTCCATCAGTTCGGGTGTTGTGGTGTTGAAAGTGCATTCTGCCCAGAAGTCGGCCAGGGCTTGAGCCTTAATTGTTGTTCGGGGTTCGTGCCCAATGTCATATTCGTTGAGCTCTATAGCCCAGTTCGTCAGCCTCCCAAATACCTCGGGCTTGAGCAATACTTGCCTCAGAGGCTGATTGGTAAGGACATCGATCGTGTGGTCTTGGAAGTACGGCTAGAGTTTCCGAGCTACTGTGATCAGCACATATGTCAGTTTCTTGATCTTTGGGTACCTAGTCTCGGCATCCTACAAAACTTTGCTCACGTAGTAAATAGATCGTTGGACCCGACCTACTTCTTTTATCAGTATCGAGCTGATTACCTCGTTGCTTGCAGAGAGGTACAACTTCAAAACATCACCCTCCTCGGGCCGGGTTAAAACCGGGATGCTGGTCAGGTAATTTTTTAGTTCGTCAAAGGCGGACTGGCATTCCTCAATCCACTCGAAGTCTTTACTTTTCTTAATGGCCTTGAAGAAAGGCAGGCAGCGATTTTCCGACTTATACATGAAGCGGCTCAAGGCAGCTATACGACCATTCAGCCTTTGAACCTCCTTCAATTTGCGAGGTGGGGTCATATCCAGGATGGTCTTTATTTTTTCAAGGTTGGCTTCGATGCCACGTTGGCTAACTATGTAGCTTAGGAATTTTCCCGAGGTGACACCAAAGACACACTTGTTCAGGTTTAGTTTCATATTATACTTGCGCAAGATTTCAAATATGCATTGCAGGTCACTTATTAAATAGCTCGAAAGTCGGGTCTTGGCGACCATGTCATCTATATAACATTCAACTTTGTCATCAATCAGTGGCTCAAAAATTCGATTTACAAGTCTTTGGTAGGTCGCCCCGGCATTTTTTAGCCCGAAGGGCATGACCTTATAGCAGTACAGGCCCAATTCGGTAATGAAAATTGTTTTCTCTTTGTCGGTGGGGTCCATCTTGATCTGGTTGTAGCCCGAGTATGCATCTAGGAAACTCAGCAACTCATGTCCTGAGGTCTTGTCCACCAGACAACCGATTTTGGGGAGCGGAAAACAATCCTTTGGGCAAGCTCGATTTAGGTCGGTATAGTAGACGTACATGCGCCATTTACTGTTGGCCTTTTTAACTAGAACGGGGTTAACTACCCAGCTCGAGTAATGGGCCTCCCTGATGAAATCGGCTGCGAGAAGTTTTCTGACATCCTCGTCGACTATCTTCCAGCGCTCCGGGGCGAGGTTGCGTTTCTTTTGTCTAATGGGCCTGACTAGGGGATCAGTGTTTAACTTGTGAGTTATTATTCTTGAGTCTATGCCAGACATTTCTACCGCGGACCATGCAAATACGTCTAAATTTTGGAGTAAGAAACTTACCAGTTGGGTTAGAAGAGGTTCTCTGATCAATCCCCCGATCTGGAGCGTCCTGGTCGGGTCATCTTCTAAAGTCGGGATGGAGACCTTCTCCTCGATCGGCGTGGCTTGTTCTTCAGGGTATTCCACGGGCCGCTCGAGCTCAACACCTTCTATCAGCTTGGCTTTCCCTTTGAGGGCCACCACGTAACACCTTCGAAATTCAAGTTGATCACCTCGGGCTACTCCTATGCCAAAGTCCGTGGGGAACTTCATCGTTAGGTAGTAGGTAGACACCACGACGCGAAGCGCGCAGGTGATGGGCCTTCCTATGATGGCGTTGTACGGGGAAGGCGTGGCTACCACTAGGAAGGTGTGCTCAAATTTTGCGATGCTTGACCACGTCCCGATCTCTACAGGCAATTAGATTCGGCCAAGGGGCCTAACTTCCTCTCCACTGAAGCCCACTAGAGGGGTGCTCACGGGCCGAAGGTCATTTTCCAGGAGTTGTAACTTGTCAAAGGTGCTTCTGAACAGGATATCGGTCGAGCTTCCTGAATCCACAAAGACACGTCTGATCTCGAAGTCATTGATCTTCATCCTTATGACCACCACGTCGTCATGGGGGTATTGGACTCCTCGCGCATCGTCCTCGGTGAAAGATATAGGGTCTGCAGGTCGTGGGAGCTTCAGCGGGTTCCGTTCTTCATGCTCCAGTTCGCAGACTGAAGTCCTCCCTGCCGCCAAGGTGCAGCCCC